TTTTTTTTTTTTTTGATAAATGCAGCTAAAAACCTCACTCACTCTAAACCTTTTAGTGTTTCCGATAATATAGAATTGCAAATTGCACGGCGAGCTGCTGATATCGGCATGTGTGGACTGTATATTACCGAGGAGCGACTCACAGAGACCGACATGTCAATTGGGCATTCACGCGATTGTGCCAGCTTTATTACGCTTGCCTCGAAAGCATTGCCAAAGTGAGTTAGAATTGCATACGAGTACTTTACCGTGAATTTCCTATTTCTACATTTCATTTCAGATATCGCGCAATAATGGGACCATTTCAATGGCCTGTTTGGGTTTGTATTGTCATCATTTATTTGGGCGCAATATTTCCGATTGTCTACAGTGACCGATTAACTTTGCGCCATTTGATTGGAAATTGGGGTGAAATGGAGAACATGTTTTGGTATGTCTTTGGAATGTTTACGAACAGCTTGACTTTCTCCGGCAAATATTCGTGGGCTAATACGCAGAAGACATCAACACGAGTTCTCATAGGCTCTTATTGGTTATTTACGATTATAATAACTGCCTGTTATACTGGCTCTATTATTGCATTTGTTACACTGCCAGCCTTTCCGAATACCGTTGATTCGGTGAATGATTTATTGGGTCTCTTTTTCCGCGTAGGAACTTTGGGTAAGTAAAATATTGTTGTTAAGGTTCAGAGCAAGTTCAAAGAGATGAGGGAAACGGTCATGTGGTCTGAGTCTCTCCTTGACGAAGTTTCGCTCCTCGTTTCAAGAAATCCAACATTTTTTTAGGAATGTCAGTGTCACCACATCGGTTCTTATTAGTGTTATTCGTAAGATGTCCCTGCTAATATTATACCACTGGACCCTATAATCGGCTCCGATCCAATTAGGTATTGCGAAGACTTGCAGTTCGCCAATTTTTGGGATAGTTCTAGGTGGTTTTGGGGTTGCTGGATACCAGCATTACCAGAACAGGGCCCAATTAGCTCTCTAAGCGCCATTTTGATACGCTTTCTCTGAAACCTTTGATATTCTCTACTTCAGCGATTCGTTGGTATCTTTTTACCCCTTGGACTTCTCGATGGATCCACAGGAGTCCGATGTTCTCCAATTAGCCAGTGTCTCTTAAGTGCGGCTTGATTGAGAAGTCTTAAACCCAGATGAGTGAAATATCTGTTGACTCGGGCATCAACCATAAGGTACACTTGCAATTTCTGCGCGAAGGACTTCAAAGAGCTTTGGATCTACTATGTTGCCACTGCAGACTCCGATCTTTCGTCTGCTCCATCTTTAGCCCTACACTAATTTCGGAGCCCAGCAATGAACGCCGATTGAATAACTGATTTCATTTTGGCATGGGAAGAAAATCATTTAAAGCTACCTCCAGATGCCAGCCGGATCCAGTTCCATCCCGCGCCTCGAAACCTCGGTATAGAAAGAATGTGTTGGTCATTGTTCCCTACCTATGGTACCTTCTTCCATGTAGTTCCTCAGGTATCAGGTTATAGTTACATTGGAGCCAGGAACAAAGGTACTATATTACTGCGAAATATGTTGCCATCAATCTGGCTAAAGATCTGCTCAAACAAGCGCAATGTGCTGCAATTCCGTGCGATATATGCGGGGTATAATCAAACATATCATCGTATCATCGAAGAATACTAAGTTTCTCTCAGACCCCAAGATTTGTCCACACGTACCGAAAACTTTCAGTGCGCAATTTGCCTTTAAACTAGTCCTGAGTTGTCCATGTTAGTTTAGAGTTACACCCAGATATTTAACTTCTGCCAAAAGACTAAGGTATCGGGATATTAAAATCTGCCAATTTCCCGCGTTATGAAAACTGTGGTTGTCTTATCAAGGTCCAGACTTGGCGGATCTCTATGCCTTTGAACAGATCTCGCTGAAAATTTTCCCGACGACAATGAACAAACATCATTCGCGGAGGTAATTAAATTCATGCGTTTTCGGGAGTCCACTATCGCAAGATCACACTTGTTTTATTTGTTTTTTCTTATCCAGTAGATTTTTCTTTTCAGACCAGTAGCTCGTTTCTGTAACAATTCTCTACCAAGGCGAATTCATATATGACTATTTCGGGTAGATTCGCTCAAAGCGTTAGCATACTAAACGTGGCCTACTAGTATCAGTCTACTTAAATTTCGAACTGAATTAATGAGCACAAGTCCCTGATTGCCTCTGAGCCATCACGGTAGATATTCACCTATCTTATCGGTGCCACACAAATGGGCTTCCAATCGACTGTTTCTTTATTATCAGCCGTGGCTTCCCGGAAAACCCTACAGTGATTAGGAAACCTAAGGCCTAGACCCCAGAGGTATCGGTGCATAACGTGACTACCTGCCACAATGACTTGACATCACGGTGCTCCTAAGCACAACGGATTAATTCAAATGCATTGATCAGCGCCCTGAAATGCAAGCACTTCAGTACCAATTGGCAGTGTGGGGTGGACACACTAGCCACCTTGGTAGGGATCGAGGCACATCTAAACCTCTGCCGTACTATGAGTCAGGCACCCGGTTGCAATGCAACTCCACATTCAACCACTGCTGGTTCTACCCGCATTTGGGTTTAAACCACAGGCACCACGATACTCCCGTGGGGTCGCACCAAGAACAGACTGGAGTAATGTTCACCCGCGCGACTTGCTCGACCTGTTCGACTCACCCTGAATTCGGTCGTACTTCAGAACACCATTTTACTGATGCGCTGACGATCGTCGGCGATGACGATGACGATATTCAGCGTAGGGCCAAATATATGTTCGGCATGTGGGGTCTCCGCACCACTCAAAACATCTCTTCACAAGCCTGCAAAACTTAACTAACAGGACTAGTCCAACCCACGTCGATACAGCCTATAAGTACTGTGCTAAGCATTTTGGTAAATTAAGAGATCTCTGTTAGACATAAAACACTAACCCCAGTAATCTCAATAGAGACTAGTCTGTATCTTCTTATGAACATTGTACAACGATGTCTCCCGTAACAAATTGTTCCATCACCTACATATAGACAAATGTTATCGAACGGTCCTTTTACTTATGTCCAAAAAATAGGCGATGCAAGTTACTTTGATGATATAAATCAAAGAACGGAGGACTAACATCGGTAGAGTATATTCCAAATATGCCTTGCTTCTTCTGCAGACAATAGCGGTTGGGAGACTTGGTTTCAAAACTCCACGCACGTACAAACAGCGAAGCTGTATAGGAAAATGGAGTTCGTTTCAACTTTGGAAGAGGGTATTGGCAATGTTACACAAAGCTTCTTCTGGAATTACGCTTTTCTAGGTTCAGCGGCACAGCTGGAATTCATGGTGCAAAAAAATTTCACCGATGAGTATGTGCAGCTAACTCTTGAACAACGTAAGTGCCACATTTATCTTTACAAACGTTTTTCTCCCACCCAGGAACATATCGCGTCGTTCAGCGCTTCACCTCAGCGAGGAATGCTTCGCGTTATTTCAAGTCGGTTTTCTCTATCCGCGCGACTCCGTTTATAAGCGCAAAATTGATTCAATGATCTTATTGGCACAGCAAAGTGGCCTAATGAGCAAAATACTCAACGAAGTCCGTTGGTCTATGCAACGTTCCGCCAGTGGAAAACTGCTGCAAGCGAGCTCGTCAAATGCATTGCGCGAGCGCATACAAGAAGAGCGACAATTGACCACCGCCGATACCGAGGGAATGTTTCTACTAATGGGTATAGGTTATCTATTAGGTGCGGTGGCGCTCATTTCCGAAATTGTGGGCGGCATAACAAATAAGTGTCGTCAAATCATACGACGTTCACGTAAGTCCATCTCCAGCGCATGGTCATCGAGACGCACCTCTGTGGATGATGAAAATGCGCTGCATCGCACTGCAGCCGAACAAGTGGCGCACGAATACCGCAAGGCAGCGAGACGCAAAGCTGAGAAAGAGTGCGCAGACAGACAAGGCTTTGGCGTGCGTGAGTTTAATCTGACAAAAAAGACGCTGAAAGAGTTGTACGGCAGCTATTACAAAAAGGAACCGAGTTATGTGTTGAAGGATGGCAAATTACTGCTCGAAACGGAAGAAATTTCGGCCAGTTCCGCGGATTGTAATTCACGCGAATCAAGTGGCGACATACCTGCGGCATTGATACTACCACTGCATAGCAAAAAGCAGGCAATGATGGTGGCAGAAGTGGATGTAGAGCGGGAAAAGAAAAAGGAGCGCGACCTTATGGCAGCAGCGGCGGAAGAATCTTTGGCGGCGTTAGACGAATGCATGAAAATGCAGCATTGTGAGGACAGCAGCGCGAGCAGCGATGATGACGCTGATGTGGCTGATGAATACGAGTTGTTTGGCAGCTTTGTAGTACCCGAAGGATCGCTGGCCGCCAAATTAAATGATCTAAATCTATTTAATGATGCAGAAGTTGTGCTAAAAAATTTCGATGACGAGCAGAAAGTGGATTGTGGAAACAGTTAAGTAAAATCACTGATGACGCTTCATGAAAGACGGAAGTTTATTTTTCTTTGCTGCGCACATCCATTTTCGAAAATGGCAGTTACGTACATACACAATGTCTGTTATATAGTTATGAATAAATTTCAGCTTAAATACTAAAAGTGCGCTTATATTTACTTGATTAGTGCGTTTGGCTTTGGTGCACTGTATTAAAGAAAAAAAAATAAAGAACTTATTATACATAATTTACAACAATTACAACAATAAATTCATTTAGATACATAGCTTCGTTTTGGTTGGAGTGGGTTTTTGAAAATCACAAATGTTACAAGTCGCTTGTCGTTTTATGAAATGGAAGCAGGTGGAATGTCGCACCGTATTTTGGTATAATATATGCGATAAAATACACGTTTTTTAGTTGTAAAAAAACAGTGCTATATTTTAACTAATGTTACAGTTCAGTTTTTGTGCTCGCATTTTCGCTGCCTTCTTCAACCTCTGCAACCTCGCCTGAAAAACCAAAACATTTAGAAAATAGCAAAAATAAAATTATATCGAAAATCAAAAACAAATAAGAACAAAAAGGCGGTAAATTCGTTCCGTTTCTGCGTTAACCTATGTCGCAGAATAGTAATTTTGAAGATAGCAGGGCAAAAGTATTTAATTTCTTTTACTGAAACACAACAAAGAAGCACCGTAATTTATGCTTTTGACTTTACTATTACTTAAGAGAACCAAACTAAGATTACAATTTTGGTTTTAAACAGAATAACGTTTACACTCTTACAATTAAAAAAATTTTTGATTTATTTTTCAATAATTTTGTTACGTGGTTAGCGCAGAAACGGGCTTCTATTAAAAAAAAAATAATGCATGAGAGCATCTAAATAAAGCTGCAAATAAATAACTACTATCGTGCTCTAAGTGTTTGCTATTTGTTATATTTATGTACGTATAAAGTAGTTATGCATCGTTTGTATGTGTAGACATCATTGCAAAAGGCCTTAAGGGCCAATTTTTAGTGCCAGTTTAAACTTAGCTTAAGTAAACTGAGTTTAAATTGAACAGCTGGCGGAATTTGATTGGCTGATCTTAGTTTAAACCACTGAAAAACTGGCCCTAAGTGACACATTCGATTTTATATAGAGAATAAAAAGGCTCTTTTATCTTGTATTTGAATGTTTGAAAGAGCATTTAAATCCATTATTCAATAACTTTTTAAACTTTACTCTGGGTATTTATGTATTGTATATATACATATGTATGTACGTATGCAGATATGTACATACATACTAGGGATGTTTCGAATGTCATATTTTTCATATCGGCGAATGCGAATGCGAATGCGAATGTTAGGAATAACATTAAAAAAGCTATAATCAACTTAAGTCATCGTTTTTATTACTTAAAAATTTTGTAAATTATTAGAACATTGAACGAGAACATTGTTTTATGGGTCGATTATGGATGGCAACGCAACCGCAGTACGATTGCCGATGGGCAACGCCACTGAAAGGAAAATGTATATTATGAATAGCAACTATAGTTAAGTTCTTTAAGACTTGAGTGTAAATAAGCTGAAGAAATAGTTGAAAAAAGAAATAAATTATCTCAATCAAAATTTCCGCGGCAACCACAAAAATGCAGTTGCTAATAAAGCAACTCAGTTGTCAGCCTTCAGTTGACAGTTGCCATCTGTAGTACCATCTCAGCCACTGGCCACCCAACTGAAGTTCGCTTGCGATCCGTAATCCGGGAATATTAATATTATGTTTCAAAAAAAGTAATTTGCTGCCTTTTCTCCCATGAAGCTCGTATATCTATCCCCTCTCTTAGAGTCTCGTATATAAGGCCGGCTGCACTGAACAATTGCTCACTAGGAACGCTGGCGGTTGGAGCGCTCAAATAATTGCGAGCCAGCTCTGTGAATTTGTCGTATTTTAGTTTAGTTTTCCACCAATCGAGTGGATTTTCACCGAAATGAGCTCGTTTTTCGTCGCTTTCGCTGGAGGAATCTAAAATTATTTCTAGGTTGCGTATAAGACTTTTAGCAGTATTTGTTGAAGGTCCATCAAAGTTGCTTGATGTACTACTTAACCGTTTAGCGCCCGAAGCTAAAAGCCGGTTATTGTCCGCACCCTGGTTAGACAGACT